TCTAAGTTAAATACGCGTTAGCTGTAGCATCATCATATGCCATCTTAGAATAGCCGAGCCTATTGTAGTTGCATCTTGCATATGTTGCATTAGTCATCTTAACATGAACTAGGATCATGCATTTGATTTACTAACTAGTTTCTGTTTTGGCTTGGAGTACTCGGTAAGCATTTACCCTTTAGCATCCTTGCATGTGTGTGAGTGTTGCCATGATAGTATGCTTACCATGAGTCTATGTGCTTATGTGATATATCTGCCTGAATGCCTGTGGGTGAAGGTTGGATTATCTGAATTGGAAAAATGCATTGACTGTGAGTTTTAAGCCCACTAAATAGTGGGAAAATCATGTTTTCCTAAGCCCACCCGAGGTGGAAAAAATCTGCATTTTAGCCTACTTACGAGTAGCAAACCATTTTCAAAACAAACATGAAATGTTTTGTTCCAATTCAGGCGACCCAGTCTATACTTGTATGTTGTGTGTATCACATAGTAAATCTAGGCTAATACCGGAATAAGAACGCATAATGCTTTCAAAACTAGATATCATGGTTAGTAGAGGCCGATCTTCGGATCGGGCGAGAGGGGGTGCTCATAGCTGACCTTCCCTAATCGTACCCAAGTTCTCGAGCCGAGGCTACTTTGGTGATGACAAACACGTGACCTTAGGCAAACGAGTCAGGGTTTCCTAAATTCCCCCATAAAAAATATTTAGGTGGCGACTCTGTATCTGGCAAAGCAGTCCATGTTTGGCACTTCTTTCTAAAAATCTGTTTTCCAAAACGATTTGCTGGATTTGGACTCTTTGGTTCAGATTAAGAACCGTGACGATTTGAGTCCGAATGTAGCGAGCCCACAATTGAACAGAACGGGGGTTCTCCCTCCAGGACATTCGGGGACGTCTACAGTTTCTGGCGACTCTGCTGGGGATTTAGAGAAGTTGACTCAAACTCATGATATCTTGTTTTGACTACACTTATGTGTTTCTTTGCATTGCATGTGTATTGGTGGCCTAGGACACCGTGTTTGCCGTATGCTATTCCTGAACGATTTGCCAGAGGCTCGCTTCGAGAAGCGTGCCATAAGGCTGACCGGTTACGGGCTTCTGCCATGATGGGAACACAAACCCCGATTTTTACTGGGGCACCCTTTTGACCATTCGACCTAGTGCATATTCAGAATCCATAGTGACCATTCCAAAGCTAAGACAGGTTGCTTACCCGATTTTAGGTTTTGAAATCGCTGCGTGCGTAGTGAAACCCTAGCGCCTGACAAAATAGGAGGGAAACCCTACCCCAACATAGGAGTGTTTTGGCTCTCACTTGCTTGTTTATGTGCTTTTAGAGTGTGTCTCTACAGGGAATCGCATGTATCAGTTTGCAAGTCTGGGTATCAGGCCTGCGGGCATCAGTATTTGGAAGAATCGTTTTACCTGAGGGTGTCAGTTTACAGGGCAAAATTTTGGGCAGAATTCTGTAGGGAGCGCAGTCATTCAGCTTCGCTCATGATGGTTCTGGTGAAATCAGGCTGAGATGCTATATGTTTTCTCTTTGCTAAGTAGTCTTGGAACCATAGCTTCAGAAGGGTCTGATATCCCTGGTACTCTGGACCTGTGTTGTTTTGTGATCAAGGATGAACCACCTGCAGGCGGCACTCAGTTTACTCCAGATGTGGCGTATGGCATGCACTGTTTTGAGCATTTGTAAATGCTGATTTTTGTACTTTCTGACTTAGGTATTGAGTCTATCTTGTGTATCGAGTCAAACCTGTTGAGTTTGTCTTGTTGTATCAAGTCAGTCCTGTCAAGTCTGTCTTATTGTATCGAGTCAGTCCTGTCGAGTCTGTCTATTGTATCGAGTCAGTCCTGTCGAGTCTGTCTTATTGTATCGAGTCAGTCCTGTTGAGTCTGTCTTGTTGTATCGAGTCAATCCTGTTGAGTCTGTCTTGTTGTATCGAGTCAATCCTGTTTGTTAGAGTCGGGTGATTCCGGGGTGTTCCCTCGGGTATCACTGTTTTGTTTTGTGTTTGTCTTTTTGCTTTTCTTTGAGTCTGTTTTTATCTTGGAGCTAGTTACGCCAGAAGTTATAAATGGAGCAGCAGTGAATTTTCACACTCTTGTTTTGCTTCTGCCTTGCGCTTGTTGTGCCAGTAAATTTGAGTGAAACGGTAGTCCATCTCACCTGCTCTTCTACACCTTTAAATCATTGCATTGACCTAAGTTTTCAAATTTTTTGAAACACTGCGGTGAAAACAAGGAGGAATGAGGGGGGGGGGGGGGGGGGGGGGGGGGGGGGAGGGGGTATTCTCGAAAGT